TAAAGTCTGCACGAAAAATGCATCTGTTTGCGTTCACACATTAGCTATGGACCCCCAGCTGTTCTATGAAGCAACTCTTCTGTTTTGGTCCCACATTGACCTTTAGTAACTGGACACAGGTGACAGTTAACTTTGTCCCACTTATACAATTACCCTCATCAAAGAAGAAACATCAGACCTAGTAAGTCTAAGTCTATAAGCTCCATTATTTTCCATATTCCTCCCACTGAATACCCCTGTGATAGGACATATTACGGTGGCCGGTAGGGGTCAAACGCTCAGCAACTGATGAACGACATACATTTAGAAAAACGCGCAGCATATATAGAAACGCTGCACATTCAAAAGAGAATGCAAACTACCACAACAAATGCAAAGGCTGAAACGCACTGCAAAGACACAAATGCGCTGCAAATAGGCAAAACAACTGCATAAGCATCAAACGCGCTGCAAGTACAGAAACGAAACTTAAGTCAAAACACACACAACCAGAAAACAACTGCAAACACAGAAACGCTGCAAGTTAATCCTTAAACGGAAGTGCTCCAGGCCTGTAGGGGCGCTGTGGAACTGTTCATTTCGGTTTATTTATTTCATTAAAAAAAAAAACTGCTCCTAAAAATGTATTCTGTATATGAACATAAATCAGCAAGATAATAACAATCATGACAAAATGAATTTGGCATGTATTAACTTTATTGTTTGACCCATGTCCCGTCTGTTAACATGGAGGAGGCAGATTTATTATTTTATTCCATCCACCTCATGACAGCAGCAGAATGGAGCCTGGATTGTAACAGATTAAACAGTTAAAGGTAGCTTAACAAATAGTTTACTGGAGTTGTTTTCCTGTGATCCTCTAAGCTGGAAGAAAAAAGATAAATGTGCTGAAAAAAACTGGAAAATGACTTTTTAACACCAACACTTCATTCTCCTTTTTTTCCGATTGGATTTGTACTTAATGGATGGTAAATGGACTTGAGCTTATATAGCGCTTTAAAGTCTTCAGACTCAGAGCACTTTTACACTGCATGTCATACCTACACATTCACACACTATTGGCAGTGGTTGCTATGTAGTATCATCAGAAGTAACTAATCCCATTCATATGCAGCCAAAGCAATGGGTGCATTTTGGGGTTAACGGTCTTGCCCGAGGACACATTGGACATGTTACCATGTAACCCTAACCCACTGACCCACAGCCGCCCAAGAGAGCCTCTAATATGATCTTGTCTTTTGCGACCCTAAACAAAGCAGGTGTTACAAGCATCAATTAGGTCAGGTACAAAGAAATACAACATTCCCTGATATAATGAAAATATACAGTTTAGTGTTGTTGTTGTGAATCTGAAATCTGTCAATATGAGCAGAACACATTTGTTTCTGGGGTGCTGGTGGCGCCGGTGGCTCAGTGGTTGTATGGAGGCTGTAGTCTTCAAGGCGGGTGGCCCGGGTTCAAATCCCGCCTGTGGCTCCATTCCGTTTATCAGTCCCCACTCTCTCTCTCCCTGATTTCTGACTTGATCTACTGTCCAATCTCTCCATTAAAGGCACAAAAATAAATCTTTATAAAAACAAAAAAACACATTTGTTTCTTTGTGGATGATAGAAATAATAAAATCACAGAAGAAGAAGAACGTATGTTTTATCTTTTCAGTATATCAGTGCAGTTCCACCTTTGGGATCTCTGTGCTATATTTTTCTCATTCCGATTTATATATCTCTATATCTTTATATCTCTAGTTGATATGCTGCAATATGTCTCCCATTTGGTCATTTGTTTTTCTCTATGACAGCTTGAGGAATCAAATGTGTTTGTCCCCTTTAGAAGCAACTTTCACCAAACATCTAATTAACTGAATTCATTCAGACAAGTTCTCAGTATTCAAATCTGCAGAGATACATTCCCTTTATTATTTGATGTATCCCATTTGGCACATGCTACTTTATTAAAATCTCCATGTGATAATGTTCCTTTTCACAACCTATTCAACAGTTTTATTGCCTTTTGGAGGAATATAAACACAAAGACTGATGGTCAATTTAGCATCTACTTTTCTTTGCACTTATCTGTTAATACCCTCGCTATCTCCTTCCTTCCTTACTAATACTAAAGAAAGTAAAGCTTCTCCTCCTCTTTTTTGCAGGATTTCATGTCCATGTAAAATGTATTTGATTTAACTGAAAAATTATGTCTTAAAATAGCTCTGCCAGAGCTATTTTACTGTAATTATTTTGATCCTCGGTCTGAAATTTCCTGGGAATGAACTTGAGATCATCCTTTTAAAAGATGTCATGATTGTTAGAATTGAGCTCCCTTCGATGCCTACCTTTTCCTTTTTTTTTTTTGTTTAATTTCATGCAGACTTTTTCCTCCTGGCGCTGTTACATTGGCTTGAAGGCGTCCCTTTTGTCTGAGAGAATAAATCTGAGCGTCCTTTGAAACAATGTCAATAGTCTATGTCTTGCTTCTTGTTGGAGTTAGTATTGTGCTTTAGGTGCAGACATAAACAATGACACTTGGTAGTTGTTGATTTATCTCTCCTGTATTTGTTGATTTCCTGCTTTATGTCCTCAGTAAGTTGTGGTAAGTTGAGTTCTGTTTACAGCTCATGTTGTTTTACTGTCTTTTCCTTCAGTGTTGTTATAATTAAAACGTTTTTAAACCCACTCACTGTAAGTCATTTTACTATTTTATTGAAGCAAAATCCTTTGGTGGATTGATTTATTAAACATCTTGACACTGATGGGAGTCCCTCACTCTTCCTCTAACACAACCTAAGCACAGGTTTTGCTCAGCCTCTTAAAAGTATTGTTTTCTTGCTGCTGTTACCAAGTCCTCAATCATGTTCAAATCTTAGATTTGATATAGTAGCAAGCCAGGAAATTCAGAGCTTTAAAAACAAACAACACGTACATCAAATCTATTTTCTTGCATGTTGAAAGCCAGTGAAGAGAGGCTGATGATGCTATCAGATCTCAGATATCAGATCAGGCAGAACAGAGATGAATGGCTGATCCCAGAGAATTACTAAAATGTATGTAAGGATCCATTTCTCTAAACAATAGGAAAGGAACTCTGATTAGAAATCTTAAAAAAACTCCTGCGATTACCTGTTCAAGAAATGTAAAGGGATGGTTAAATATTAAAAGTTCAAAGCACGGGGCTTCAGGTATACGTCGACAAGTGACCTAAGCCCTGAGGACTAAGTTCTGTGGAATCTGGAAGACAAACATAATGCCTTCAGTTTTCTTATATTCAGGAACATGTTGAGCGGCTGTGGCTCAGTTGAGAGTCGGTTGCTCCCTACGGGACATGTCCCATGTGTCCATGGGCAAGACACCCCAGGTTGCTCCTTCTGCTTCTTCAGTGGTGTATGAATGTGTATGAATGGGATAAGATACTGTTAATTCTGTTGGTCACTTTACATATCAACCACTGCCAGCAGCGCGGGAATGTGTAGCTGTTACATGTGGTGTAAGAGGGATTTGAGTAGTCTGAAGAAAAGTCTGATTCTCTGGACAGGACATCGAGTTGGGGTTGAGGTTAACGTTAAAATAAAGCAATATTTTTTCCCATTTGCATGTCTTGAGAGGAGTATTTAGTTGGCCCAAGGTGAAACCTTATAGAGGAAACGTTGCATTGCATCATTTACACAACACTCCTGTTACTCACAGTTCTGTCCTGTTTCCACATATACACTTAGAACAGTCTGCCCCTGAAAACTTCCTGAATATCTTATTCAAATACAGAACGTCCCACACAGTATGAAGTGTTCTCTATCAGATGGTGGGATGGGTGTATCATCTCTTGTCTAAGGAGGCAGGAAATGAAAAGATGCTGCAGAAATCCAGGATGTCCATGTGAAAGAGACTATAATGACATATTCAAAGTATCACCAAACTATCTGAAATAACACACAGTTCATTTTTAATGCAGTTTAAGTTGGCTCACCCCATCAGAGGCTGGGGTCTCTCAACCGGAAGGTCGAGGGTTCGATCCCCAGCTGGGCAACATGTCCGCTGTGTCCTTGGGCAAGACACTTAATCCTGAATTGCTCCCGCTGCTTCGGTGGTGGTGTATGAATGGGATTAGTTACTTCTGATGGTCTCAATACATAGCAACCACTGCCACCAGTGTGTGAATGGGTAGTTGTGAAAAAGTGGTGTAAAAGCATAAGACTAGAAAAGCGCTAAATATGCTAAAGTCCATTTACCATCTACTGTCACACAGACGTTACATGGGCCCAGCTGGAAAGGTCAGGGTAAAGACGATGTGAAAAATCCAGCTGTTTGCATCCACACATGAAGCTCACTTAAAGAAATCTCCGTAAATGTTTTACTTTTATCCAAAAACACCATGAGTTACAGTTTTTCTCTTGTTCTTCACTGTTCATTAAATGTGTCCGTGACACTTTAAACAGCAATTTGTTTCTGTCCTCTTTTGGTCTGAATTAGTCACGATACAAAGTTTAACTTTTAATAAAATAAATACAATTATAACAGTTCTCCTTTGAACTAATCTTTTGACAGATTTGAACAACTGTTAGAACTTCTTTGTGAACTAAAGTTACCATAGAGCTAAAGGCCTGATCAAGGAAACAAAGGGGGTCCATGTCAAGGGGGCAGGGGGCAGTCTTCATTAGATACACTGATTAAGACAATCAGGGCCAATCCAGATGTTTAAAATAACAATTTAGCCAATTGCTTGCTTGATATGTTACACTCTATCAGTGAGATAGTTTAACTTCTATGTCAATCATAATTACTGTGAAATGAATTTTGTTCTGATGAATCAAATTGACGTAAGTTTTATTCCAGGCTTTTACTTTGAAGGCGAAACCCCCTCTATCTCGCGATGGCTCTATCTGCTTGCTTGACGAATCTCTCTCTCTGTCTCTTTCTCTCTCTCTCATCGTCTCTCATCCTCTCTCTCTCTCTCTCTCTCTCTCTCTCTCTCGTCGTCTCTAAATCCTCTCTCTCTCTCTCTCTCTCTCTCTCTCTCTCTACCCGCCGTCACCCAGCGCGGTACCGATGTCTGGTGAAACCCGGAGCCGCCGTCAGGAAGAATGATCTGCCTGATCAGCGAGGAGACACACATATTTTAAAAAACACACGAAAAGAACAAAACGGATTTTTGAGACAGAGTGGAAAGAGACCAACTCCGTGAGAATATCGCGTTCAGTCTAAGTGTGAGCCTTGGACTCCCCCCACTCAGTGATGTAAAACGTGAAGGTGGATTTTGGCATGTGGAGGAGCAGGTAAAAAGGTAAGACTCGTGACTCTAAACTGTGCATTGAAGTGCTCGGACTCTCCTGATTGGAGCTCCAGTCGCTTTAATCTGTTGCCAAGATGAGTGAAAATCTTTCATAGCATGAGTCACTAACTGACTGTGAACTGGCAGGAAAATGATATTGACACCTAGTTTCATCAGCGGAGGGCAGGCGTAGTCCGCGTATGGGTAAGAGGGGTGAGGATTTGGGAGAGATGCAAGTAATTCACTAAATGTATGAAACAACAGTGAGGGTCCCCCATGACGTCCGTGGTGATGGATAGAGATAAAAGCTCTGGCTCACTTTGGGATGTGATGTAAGTGTGGAGAAAAGAAAATGTGGTGCATTCACGGTGTGAGTTTGGGTGGATGACGACACTTCCACTCCTCCCGCCTGTAACAAAGGAATCAATTAAGTGAAGTGGTGTCCAAATCAAACAGAAAAGTGTCATTTGAAGGGCTCTCTGACGCCTGTGGATGTGGCTGTAGTTTTTTAAATTTTTCCACTGAAGCAAGTACATCAAAGAGGTTGCATCTGTAGCCCACATGACATGATGACACCAACGCACTCCAGCAGGTAGATAAAACCCTCCCCGAGATGTTCAGCAGGGATGACACATGCTCTCTATGAAGTTGGCGGCTGGTGCTCTGCTGTGAGTCAAAGTGGCCCTGCAGCAGAGGAACACAGTCCTTTTTGTGTGTGCCCCCCCCCCCCCCCCCCCCCTCTTAGAGGAGCAGGATTTCTAAAAGCATGTGGGGTGAGTTATAGTGTAGATATATCCTTTCATGCGGATGAGTGCTTACAAAAAAGCCTCACTTTACACACTTCTATCCTGAGCTTAAGTATGAGAAACAGGACTGAATTATAAATGAGTTGTGCTTCAGCTACTGTCTCTCATCTCACTTCCCTGGGCATTCATTGAGTATGGCATGGCAACAGTAATTGGGTGGAAATGTAATCAGCTTGTTCTTATCTTTATAATGGAGAGCACAGTTCAGGGGTAATGCATTTGTTAGCTCTATCTAAAAATACAACGAGTATTAAGGTCCAATATTTTGGTATGGCTCTGCCACATGATTTCAATCAAGCTCAAACAAATATTCAAATTTCCACTGGACATGAATCTGTTTTTTATATTCTGAATAAGTTTTCTTGTAAAATGTAGACACATAGATGTCACCGCTGTCTTCAAGCAAGAGGGATGCTAATGGAGGAGAGAGAGGATACAGGCGTTACCGCTGCAAGAGCGAGAGAGAGTGAGCGTGCTTCTGCGAGAGCGTGTGTGTGAGGTGTTTCCATGGCAACCTGTCAGGGGTGTGTTTGGTCCCTGGAGACGGCGAGGAAAGGAGGAAAGGAGAGAGATGAGAGGCAAAGAGAAAACTATCCCTCGTTAAAGGGTGAGAGGGGGATGGGAAGAAGAGATAATGCCCCCCCCCACCACCCCCCTCCTATTGTTTGTTTTCCCGTTCCCTGTGCTATGCTGTGTTTCTCCTCGCAGGCTTCCTCCCCTCTTCTCACGCCACCTCTTCTCTCCGTTGTGAAGTAACATGCAGGGCGTGTCGGGCTCTATACATGTCATAGGGATGCCTTCATGATCATCTGAAAGGTGTGACGTGTTTGAATTCGTGTGAGGACGTTTTATGTGGACTTTGTCGGCTCTTCATCACTTTATGTGCCATAAAGTCTCAGCTGTGTCTTCAGGTTGTCATAGTAACAAAGGTCAGGTTCAATCCTCTTATCACTTCTGAAGAGCAGTCTAATGAGCTGACACCTTCTCGTCACTTTCATTCTCCTGGAGGTGTTAATCATGTGACAGAGGAACACTGCTATCCTTTTATAGAACTTATAGAACGGTCTGCATGTTGGATTCAACTCGATGGAAATACAAGGGCTGTATTACAGCTTGTTGATTTCAAATGACACTTAGAACAACTCAAAATACTTTCTTTTACAATTTCTGTAACATCAAAGAAATCCACATGTAGGAATTTGTGAATTCAAACAAATGCTTCTGAATTAATTAATGTATGAAAATATATCCATAATGTATTCTACTTGCAGCAACACTCCATATATAGTGCTCATGATGGATAGGCCGGGTCTTGGTAATATAGCAAAGAGTAAGGTCTTTTACCTGCTTTTTGTAAAATGTCTCGAGATAACACTTGATATGAGTTGACGCTATACAAATAAAAATTGATTGATTGATTTTTGTATATGTTGGGGAATTTTAAGGAGTAAAAAAGGAGACGGAGGGTGGGAACTAAAATGACTCCTAGTTTTGTGTTGTGCAAGTGCAAGTGTTTTGTTGGTTTTGAACAGCTGACAGAAATCAAGGTTTATCCCTAAATCCGACCTTCTCAAGTTGAGAAAGATCCAGATTTTCATGAAAGCATCTTCTTTTGTCTACCTGTACGAGTTAAGCATATAACTTTGCAAAATAATTCTACCGCTGGAAATTGTATCTGTTGTCTTTCTCATACTGTGTATATGAAGGTAACATAATAGAAGTGTGTGTTGACACACCAGGCCAACATGTAAGAATCATTCGTCTTAAAGTAAGGCTTCTTCAAGATTAAATACAGTTCATCAGCTTTCAGTCAAACAGTGTCTGTTGCCTCAGCTTAATTAGCAAGAAAAACAAAAGATTCAGAAAAAGAGCTGTGTGAAGTTTGATGTTTTTTATGACCCTGAAAGTCATTTTTCTGTTCTAGCTTTTATTACAATAAAAGAATAGCATCAGGCCGCTCAGTAGAACCGTAATGAGAGCAAGGACTTAAAACTAATTTTATTGCTTTAATAATTACCCTCTGACTATAATGTCTCCTCTAGGATCACATGTTGGAGCTTCAACTCTGCCTGAATGTCCCATACTGTAAAAATGTGGCACTTTTTAATTGCACTTTAACATAAAATTGTAATTTTAATAATGTATTTAAATGACCTGAAAACTGTTGTCTGCTGGGATGAGAGTACATGGAACTGTCTACAACAGAAACCTTTGCTTTGGAAAATGTTCTGCAGGACTGAAACATGATAAAACACATTAGCTTTTAGAACATAATATTTTCAGTCAATACTTGTTTTTCTACTAATTTATAGACAATGCATTGTTCATTCCTTGCTTTAATCCTTTCTTTTTTTTTTAAAAAGACTTTAGATCCTTTTCCTCCAGGTTCTTGCAGATTGTACATCTTTGAGTCATCAGGTCTAAAAGGATCAATACATTCTTTTAGTTTACATGTCAACACATAAAGCCTTTCACTCTAAAATGGTTAATGGAAAGAAGTAAAGAAACCAACAGTGAAATACTCAGAGTAAAGCGGCTATTAGCATTCCTCAAAAGAAAGTCTTCCAAAGTAAAACACAGGATTTCAAAAGTGGAACAATTGCAAACTCAGATGAAAAGATCTTTGTTGCTAAGGACATTTTCAGACAACATAAAAACAGGATGACGTTAACATTGTCTTTAAGAGCCAAGATGGCCACCTGACATTTCTTACACCTAACATATTAGACCAGCCTTTCCCAAACTTAAGACTGCCACGGCCCGCTTTGAAATACAAAATTACTCTGGGGCCCATTATCATCTTTTTTTTTATGACTACAGCTATAACTTTCAGTAAGGGTAAATGATTGGATATTACAACATGATATTATAGACGCAAAGTTTACTGAACTATATGTCCATGAATAGTCATGACACGCCTTACTAATCACTTAGAGGGTTGACTCATGGTAAATCATCATTATTGTGATATTTCTTTTATTTTTAAAATTGGTGGAGGGCTTTTTTGCGGCCCAGCTCCAGTACCCACACGGCCTACCAGGGGGCTGCGGCCCACACTTTGGGAAGCACTGTATTAGATGATCTAATATGTTTGGAGAAAATCTCTAATATAAATCTTTTGATTTCTATACTGTGATAGTCTAGAAATCAAAAGATTTATATCAAAGATTTGTCAGGTGCAGATTTGAAGACTTGTTTTTTTTCATGCGTTTCTAATGCTAATGAAGGACTCCAGTGAAGATGAGGGAACAGCTTTCCCAGTGCTGAATTACAATGACCCAAGAGTCTTAAATTGTGGGGATGAAACCACTACTCTGCTGGAACTTCTTTTTGGGGTTATCTTATCTTACAAGCTCTCTTGACAGTATTCTAAAAGATAAATCTCAAAGATGGAGTGGTTTGTGATCTGGAGTGTCGTGATGAAACAGCTGAGAAAGTTCAAAGTCAACTGTCCAAAATATTTTTAAAATTCTGAGACGGTTGAGATCATTTTAAGTTTTAGCCTTATTTAACTTGACTGAAATGTAAGTGATGTGGCGGGTAAAGATTTGCATATGTAAAATGAAAACACCAAGGACGCAACCAACATCACAGAGCAGAAACAGCATACATGAAATATCATGAAAAAGAAACTACACAGCTAGAATGCTGAGTGGAATAATACAAGTCCTTTATTCTGAACAGATTTGGCTGAAGTAAGAGCACACTGAAGGCTCAGTCCAGATGTAGCTACGCAGTATTTTAGAGATACAACGAGCATTGGACTGCTCAGTTGTTATCTGATAAGATTTTTTTTATTTTGACAGGCAAGAGGCTCGTCTGTTGGGCCCTTTCCTGGAGTGTGATTAGCATTGCAGATGCAGGTTTCTGTAGGCGTCATTTTCAACAAACTCAAGGTTCCCCCTGTCTCCTGTGCATGATTAAAATGTAACAGCCGTGTGTGGGAAATTCACAAAAGCAGAATAATGCTCCAGCTCTCAAACAAGTCTATTTTCTGCTCAGGTATGTTGCACCCCCCCCCCCCCCTTTCTCTTCAGCATAAATACACACAAGGGCTCGACACCTATGTGTGGAGCAACAACAGGCTCGACAGTTGCCAGAAACTATTGTTTTCTGCAGATGTTGGATGTCAAAAATGTATTTTTGAGAGACGGAAGATATTGTTTGAAATTAGAGGTAAGAGAATTTCCGAGAAAAAAAAACATA